TAAAATATTCATAGCTGGAAAAAGGAGTACAAAAGAAGTACAAAACTAATAAAGGAGTACATTTCCAGATATTTTTTTTGGGAGTACATGGGAGTGCATTGCAGTAAAAAGGAGTATGTTTACTCCCATAAGCAGTACGTCTGGCAACCCTATGCCAAAGCAAGGCAAAGATCCGACGGTAGTAAATTTATATAGGTCCATTAATTAGCTTGATTTCTGTGTTTTCCAAAATATTTTAAAAGCTTCTATTGAAAAAACTACAACCTTCACTAACAAGTAACCAAATAATACCAGCACATCAGTTCGGTTTTCGTGAAAAACATGGCACTGAAGAACACGTTCATAGAATTTTCTCTTGTATTAGAAAAGCCTTCGAAGGGAAGCAATACTGCACCGGTGATTTTTTCGACATCTCTCAAGCTTTTGACAAAGTCTGGCATGATGGCCTTATATATGTACAAACTAAAGGTTTCACTCCCAGCAAATACGCATGCAATTCTGGAAAGCTTTCTGCTGGGGAGAAAGTGCAGAGTCAGGCAGAATAATATACACTCGTGATTTGCCAACTGATGAAACTCTAACCATTTCAATGTTTTCGGATGACACATCTATCCTAAGCAATAGTTCAGACCAGTAGCGTAGCCAGGGGGGATTTGGGGGGATAGATCCCCCCTTCGTCAGTGAAATGAAACTTTTTATTTTTGAATTAATAACACAATACTATTTTATCCTTCAGATTTATAATTTTTTTATTTCAGACTCATGAAAAATTATCTTTTAGTGAATATATAAAATTATCGGTTGGTGGATTATGTATTTGAATATTTGCGAAATACACTAGGCCATTTTGCTTAGTTCCCCACAGTTTTGGGAAATAATCTATAATCTATACGAAAACTGTATTTTTCGACTGTAAATTGTATCGACTTTTTAATTTGCTCATATGCATGCATGCATACATAGATTCCCTTCAACACCAATGCTTTGATGGTACTCACGGGAAAGTTTATGTAGGTACATTTACATATTTTACACTTTTAACATAAATGTCAAGGCAGATATTTTAAGATACACTTCTTAACAAACACATTTTTTTAAGTTATTATGAATGGATAAAAGAAACATCTTCTTTGAATTCAGTACTAAAACTTGACATTTCAAGTGCTTATCAAAACTTTATACATGTTAACTAAATTGGCCATTTATCTTAAAATTATATAATTTTAATTATTTGTTTATAAAAATGCAGTTTACACTTTAACAAAACCCGTATAAATCCAAGGTTAAATCTTTGCGCAACAGTAGCGATTTGAAAAAATTCCCTCTCAGAGTCAGTTAATGACTCGTTAACGGCATTTAATGAACATTAAAGTTAAGTAAACAAAAACCTTTACTTAACTTTTTAACGAATGATTTTGAAATTTTTTGTTTGTTTTCAATAAATTTCAATTTCGATAACATTGCTGTAACAGTGGCAAGGGCCCAGTGAGCAGGGCAGTTTCGTGCCATTCAAGAGATCCGGGTTCAATCCTCGGCAACAAATTTGTTCTTAACTAAATTTTTTATGTTTTATTGCTTAAAAAATTCATATTTTTTATTTTATTTAACGTTTGAAAACTTTTTTGATTCATCTTTTTTCGCCTTTTTTAGTTTTTCCTGTTTTAAAAAAATATTTTTTTTTCATTTCGTTTAGTTTTTAGAAAACTTATTGCTAAACGATAAATATAATAACACTATTAGCACATCTTTCAATTACTAATTCGAAATACAGAAACGAGCTTTCAAGATAGTTGCCGAAATATAAAGACTTTTGTCTCTCGAAAGACTGAGGTGAGTTGAAAGACAGATGCCAGAATTGGCCAGTTATTGGTCTTGTTTGTCTTTTAGCAAACGGTTTCTAAAAACTTTAAATTAAATAAAAAAAAATGTTTCCAATAAAATCTATAAATCAAAAGAAAATTAGATCAAGAAGCAAAGAAATTCAATAAAAACAGTTTATAAAAATTAAAAAAAAAAATTTATAAATAACAAGTAAGAAAGTCTAAGTTCGCGCGGAGCCGAACATTAAATACCCGGCGCAAATATTAAATATATATATGATTTTCACCTTTCCGAAAGCTACCGCTACATGGTAAGCCGGGGTGTATCAATTTTGAGTAAA